GAGGTTCGGGAGTGTTATGTTTGAGTTGTTTGAGTTGGTACTCAATGATTCTACTTCTTAAATGTAAGAAGCGTTCTAGTTCTGCGACTGAAGGTTTTACGATATCGCTTTGCGGGCGATTTCTTGGCATACAATCGACAGAACTAGTAAAGGGAAAATGAAAATTGTTAACCTAGTCTATACGGCGTAACAGAAGGTTACACTATTGACTAAACGGGTCCCTGGCAACGGCGCCAAAAACTTGATCGCGACTTTCTATGTCTAATACAACCTAACTGCAAGTGCACAGTCTATCGCGTAGTAATAATAGATATCGATCCCACAGGGACTCGTAGTCAAACTAGTGTTCTCGGGAGTTACTATGTTTAGCTAGGTAGAATATGTTTAAGGGAATAAGATTGTCACTAAAAGGGAACTAAGAATACTATTTAGATTATAATTGATTGGATCGATACGTAGTAATTGTGTTCTTCAGGGATTTGATAAGTTACTGGTGTATGAAATAATTTTCAAAGTTTATTTAAGCAGAAAATGGTGATTTGAAGACTCTCTCCTCACGATGGTTATTAACGCTAATCATAATCCTAAGGACCAAACGTACACTTTCGTATCCTGTTCGGGGTTAAAATTACTTTTTGGAAATCTCTAAGTTCTAATTCATTTTAAAGTGTTTTCGCTGTTATTAAAATGAATGACTAGTGTTTACTATCTGACCTTACCGCAGCTTTCGCTTGTTGGTTCGTATCTTAATTAATTTCCCACTTTCGTGGCAAAACTACTTTTAAATAAGTTCTCGCTTTCGCGACGAAGTTTATTTAGTAAATCAATTTTAAACACTCAGACCATAAATTACTTTTTTGAAAAGAAAGTTTTTCAACCAGTTATTATCAAATCCCATTCGAATTATTACTACATATCGATTACCTAAGTTTAGCTAGACATGGATTTGGGGAAGATAAAATATAAATAAAAACAATAAATAATGATTTGCATTATAATAAAACTGAAATCGATCAAAATGAAAACCTGTAAATATTCCAATTGGCCTTTGGGCAGATCCTCCACAGATGTTGGCAGGATTCTGATCTCTAATGCCAAATTGATCGTACAGTACAAGTAGAAATTATAGAAGAATGGAAAAAGCAATACAGGAAAGTTAAAGAGAAACAAATAAGAATATTGCTGGAAAATATGCTCTGAAAAGTAAATTCGGCAGCACTTCGTGGTATGAATGCAACACCCTTTCTGAAGTCCCCTGCTTCCCTTTTTATAGAAGTGGAATCCCAACGGTTATCACTGAAGATGATGGACCTTGAGGCAGATAATTTAGGGAGTAGTGGTCCACTCTGTGGGAATTGGAACTGATTCTTTGACGTGTAATCTGAGTGGGGCGTTTTTGCCTGCATGACGGTCGTCACAAGGTGTGACGGTCGTCACCCGTGTGACGGTCGTCATGAAGCTGTGACGGTCGTCACATCAGCAAAAACAGCTTGCTGCGCTTTTCATTGTGTTTTCACTCCTTTTTCGTCCATATTTCATCTGAGATTGCTTCTTTTCTTCATGTTGCCTTGTTTAGACGTGATCGTTGAATACCTGCAAAACATCAGACAAATACACGGAAATAACCCGAAATCGGATCGAAAACGGTTAGACTTTAGTTGAATTATGCATAAAAATATCTATATGATTTCGTGTTATCAGGCCTTGAGTGACCCAAAATGGATTTGTGTTATGAAAGAGGAGATGAAATCAATTGAGAAGAACAAGACTTGAAAGTTAGTTGGTGGCTAGAATTAAAACTATTAGGCTATTTGTTGGTACTGCAAATAACAACAATTGGTCCATCTACCAAATGAATATCACATATGCGTTTTTGAACGGACCGCTTGAAGAGGAAGTTTATGTAGAACAACCCTCTAGTTTTGTTGTGAAAAACCAACAATCAAATTTCTACAAGTTGAAGAAAGTGCTATACGATTTGAAAAGTCTCAAAGAGCTTGGAATAAGAGGGCATATGGTTTCTTAAAGGAGATTGGCTTCAAGAAGTGTGTATCTGAATATTGTGTGTAAGTGAAAAAGGATACAAATGAAGGGGTGATGATCCTTTGTCTATACACATACGATTTGTTGATTACAGACATCAATGAAGAATGCATTTCTAAGTTCAAGAGTGAGCTTATGAAGGAGTTTGAGATGACCGACCTTGACCTTTTGACATTATTCATTGGCATTGGGTTCTACAAGTCCAAGAAGGGACTGCTCATGCACCAAAAAAGGTATGCACTAGAGATTTTGAAGAATTTGAAATGGAGCATTGTAATGTTACCATTACCCTGACTGAAACAAGGCTACATTTGTCGAAGAATGAGGACGGCGAAGATGTTAATCCAACTTAGTATAAGAGGCTGATTGGATTCTTGCGTTACTTGTGCAACACGCGAATGTGTCTCACTTGGCAGCAATCAAGAGGATTATAAGATATGTAAAAGAATCTATTGGCTGAAGAATTATTTTTCTCACAATGGACACAAACAGAAAATGCAATTATCTTGGTTTTAACGACTTTATTTGGTGCAGAGATAAAGATGATAGAAAGTCTATAGTTTGATACATCTTTATGTTCGGTGAAACACAAATTTCATGGGGTTCGAAGAAGGAACTGGTTGTATAACACTCTTTTCTTGTGAAGCCGAGTACATTTCCACTTCGTTGTATGTGGGCCAAGTCGTGTGGTTAATGAATCTTTTGAAGGTGCTGGACAACAAAGAGGGTGACGTTGTAACACTCATGGTTGATAATGTTTCCTCTATAAACCTTGCTAATAACCCAATTGTATATGGGAGAAGTAAGCATATTAAGACGAGGTTTCACTACTTGAGAGAACTTGTTAATGAAGGAAGGTTAAGATTTGTATATTGTAGAAGTGAAGACCAAATGGTCGTTTTGTTGACCAAAGGAGTCACAATTAAAGTGTTCAAGAGATTGAAGAAGAACATGGGCATGAGAGACTTGAAACACTTGAACTAAGGTGGTGTATTATGAAAAATCAATAATTTAAGTATTGTAAATGGTTACTACGTTTTTGCAACTGGATACATGATGTAGTATTTTTGTTCTTTGAAACAGGTGTAACCGGTTACTGCATTTTGGTAATCGGTTACCACTGTGTTGAATTTTAATTGTACAAATAGTTATAACCATTTACAAGTTTGGTTTAACCGGTTATAGACAAACAAATTGAGTTTTTCTGTTATTTTCAGTTAGTTGCCTGTGTCCTAATCAATTCTACTTATATATATCTTTGAGGTATCATGTAATGAAAATACTGAATGAATACTCTCTCTCTCTCTCTCCCTCTCTCTCTCCTCAATTATTCAATTTTCACCAATAGTATAATTCTAAGTTCTAACAGTTTAGATTCAAGTGTCACACTCCAATCTCGCGTTCCAATGAAGGATTTGTTGTGATTCCATAAGCGACCAATGCAATGTTCTATATAAACGTGAAAATTTAATGTGTTTTTGAAAAATGTGGTGGATTACCAAATGAGTTCTTTTAATGAATTGATCTATAAAATTGATTATGGTTAAAAGTGATTTGAAATTAAATTGAATTATGTTGGGATATATTAATAGAGATAACAAAGTTGAGAAAAGACGAAGGGGTTTCAATAACCTAAATAACATAACTTAAAATAATGGTTAAAAGAAATTTAATAACACCTAAATATACTAAACTACCATTAGCTCAATTATAACAAAAGGTTCATTATGTATTATCCAAAATCCATCCTCATACTCACAATGCATAACATGAAGTATTGAGATTTTGACAAAAGGAAAACAAAAACATACTCAATAATAAACAATATAAATTTAAAAACTCTAACACTCTCCTTAAAACTAAAATTTGTTAAGCTTTGAACTTATTACAAACTAACCTTGAAAATAAAATATTGATTAAAACTAACTAAAATCATAACTAAAAGAGAGAACAACCAATAAGAAAAATAATCATAGAGAGAAACAATAACTAAAGAGACGACAAACAATTGAAAAAGTCGAAAAAATAGACCAACATAAAGAGAAGAAGTATTCAAAGAGAAGGACCAAACCAAACAAGTAAAAAAAGCTTTCGAAGATGAGTAATCAAAAAAAAAATTTAATACAAAAGAACATAAGAGAAATAAGTAACCAAATAGAACGACCAATAAAATAAACAAAGGAATAATCAAATAGAAAACACACCAGAGAGTGGATGAGCCAAACAAAAGAATAAAATCAACCTGACTAAATAAAATCAAACAAAATCAAATTACTCGAACAAATTCAAACTAAATCAAATCAAATCAAATTAAACTAAATCAAACATAACTAAGAGGAAAGCCATTGTTATACATGACCAATGAGAGAGAGACCAAAACCGATTCCAAAAGAATAAACCAAAATTTTATATGACTCTGATCTCAATCTCCAAACACATAAATTGAGACAAAACATACCAAAAACAATTTAATAATTAAACAAAAATATTTTTCTCTTCGATAAAATCAATTATTAAAAATCAAAATACATCCTAAAAAAAATATTTGTTCGAAGAATCAATCATTAAAAATCAAAATACATCCTCAAATTTTTAAAAGATATTAAATTTATTGCTACAAACTTTAACTATGACATTAAGAATATTGGTAATAAAATTGAGAAAAGATATGGCTTTAATATGCAACTATTATTTTTATTCCCGTGTGTACTTTTTATGGTCCCAAGATCTATCTATTTCTGTTATACTATTTTTTTATAGATCTGTACTACTACGTATTACGATGACATGGCACCGATAATGGTGCTGTTAGTGTGTTAAATTAAAATGAAGTCTATGTGCTTTTAGTTATCCACCATTGAAATTTCAATGAATAAAGTGCAACAACAGTAACGCATACTCTCTCTCCTTGCCCAATTTCTCAACTCATCCAAAATAACATTATTCTGTCTTTCAAGATGCTATCTAAGATCTTCTTTACTCTCTCAATCATAGCATTTACTTGCTTCACTTATGCACAATCTAAACTTCCTCGGCAAGAGCGTAAGAATCACTTTTTCATTTCAGTGTTACACTAGTTTTTATATTGTTAAGAATCATACATCTTGATCTATATAGCTGTTTTGCTTTGATTTTTTTTTTAACCTGCAACTTTATCAGTTGATGCTCTTGAAGAAATTACTAGTACAATGGGTTCAAGATATTGGAAATTTGATGGTGATTCATGTCAAATTAAAATGCTTGGTTTAACTCAAAAGCCACCTGATGGATGCGAAAGTAGCATTGGTTGTGATTGTTCTTCTCAAAATGACTCCTTCTGTCACGTAGTAAGGATGTAATAAACCTTCAATCTTCTATTTTCATATACTTTATAGTTTATAGATATGAGATATTCTTTGTTAACATTGATTTTTCTGAAACACGAGTTTCCATTTTTTTAGTATATTCAAGGGGTATAACCTTCCCGGTGCGCTTCCGCCTCAATTGGTTAAGCTTCCATACCTCAAACAAGTGTAAGAACTATGATGAACACCTTACAGAAGATTAAAATTTAGTTTCATTAATGGTATTGCTGATTGAAATGAAATGTGTTTTCAATTCGTTGTAGTGATTTTGCTTTAAACTACCTAAATGGTACGATTCCAAAGGAATGGGGTTCGATTGAACTAACTTCAATGTAAGGTCATATCAACCGATTTAAGTTTTCATTACTTGCTTTTTCTTTTTGTCTAGTAGCCTAGTGGCTGAAGTTCACCCTTCCTTGCATAGCTATCAACTGAACTGACTTTACGAGATAGTTTTCGTTACCTGCCTTTTGTATTAAATAAATACGATGTTTTATGCAGCTCGCTACTTGCTAATCGTTTGTCAGGGGAGATTCCTAAGGAGATCGGAAATATTACCACTCTAGCATACTTGTAAGTCTCATTTTTATCGTCTGAGGATTTGTGTTGATCTAAGTTCAATTCTCAATTGTGAAACTAGGTTCTTATCTGTTTCTATATGGTTCTGATCTGATTGAAAGCTTCAATTATTAAGCTACTTGTGTATTGACTTATCATTCTTTTACTATGGCCTTAAATCAGGAACCTTGAAGCAAACCAATTTTCCGGTCTTGTTCCCGCTGAACTTGGAAATCTATTTAACCTGCAATCTTTGTAAGAAAATGAGATTCGTGTGTTTTACTGTTATAAGTATGTAGCACTGACACTTCAGTATCTGACATTGATACAATTGACACATGAGCTTACATTCTATCATTCATTTTCTTAAGTTATTATGAATGTCTACATATCAGTGTCGTGTCTGTGTCTGTGTTAGTGCTTCATCATAACATATTTGATTTGAAAAATCATATAAGCTGTACCTGGTGGTTTTTATGTGCAATATTATCTGTGCAGGGTTTTATCGTCTAATAAATTGTCTGGGAAATTACCAGTGACATTTTCTCAGTTACAGAATTTGACAGATTTGTAAGTTCTGATTTAACTGTTTTTCCTCAGAAAATAAATATCGACACTTTCTCAGATGAATACCGATTTTTGGTGTATTGCAGTAGGATAAATGATAATAGTTTCAACGGAAAAATACCGAGCTTCATACAGAATTGGAAACAGCTTCAGAGACTGTGAGATTGCAATCACTTTTTTTCTTCCCTTCAAATATCTTTGTAACTTTACGCAATAGACACATGCCTACTTTATGTTTATCTTAAGATTGATATTCTCATTGTAATGTACATCAATGAAGAGAAATGCATGCAAGTGGACTAGAGGGACCTATCCCGTCAAATATATCACTTTTGACTAATTTATCTCGACTGTAAGTGAAAACTGAAAAACCTACTAATTTTTTAGTTTCGTTAATGTTCTCCCCCTAGTTCATCTTACATGTTTTATACATTAACTTATGATGGAAATTATGATACAGGAGGGTTAGTGACATCAATGGTCCTAGTCAGGATTTTCCTAATTTAAGCAACATGACAGGAATGATTAGAGTGTATGTTTGGTTTTATGATAAAAACTAGCTGGTACATTTATCTGCTACTGTTGTTCGATTTAAAGTAATTCCGGCTTTTTAATGTAGGGTTTTGAGGAATTGCAATATTACCGGAGAGATTCCTACCTATTTCTGGACAATGAAGAATTTGGATATGTTGTAAGAAAACCATTTGAAATTTATATGTTTGACCTTGTTTTCCGAACTTCATAACCGTGGAAATTTATACTATTTTTAAAACTTTTATAGGGATCTCAGTTTCAATAATTTGTTTGGTGAAATTCCAGCGAGGGCTCATGTGGGACATTTGAGATTTCTGTAAGTACACTTCTCTAAATTTTGAAATATATTGTATTGTATTGTAATTGTGTATCGTATAATATTAAAGTAACAACTGTGTGCATTAGTTGAAGTGCTTAATAGTGATCAAGTTTCAATTGCTTCTTTTCAGCTTATTAACAGGTAACAAGCTAAGCGGTAACATACCTGACTCAGTGTTGATGGATGGAAGCAATGTGTATGTTTCTTGCCTCAGTCATTTCAACTTAAACATTGAAAATTACCGTCATTTAATGCTGAAATTTAACTCTATTTGAGCTGTTATTTTTTCTATTAGTGGATCTAGGGAGATAGCTAGAAATCCAAATTCAAGCACACTCACTCTTTTTTTCTTCTGTCATGCTTAGGAATTCCTATTTTTTTAAACTATATTGTTAGAAACGGAATTTCATTTTTGTTCACAATATGTTATTGTCTAGACATTCCTTTATTCCTTTACAGAACTTTACATATCAATGACTAATAGAAGAATATGATTATATACGTGTCATTCGATGTTCTAATTATAGTCATTTGACTGCTGATATTTTTTTTCTTTCTAATATTTGGGTGCAGTGATATTTCTTACAACAACTTTACATATCAAGGACCTGAGAAATCCTCTTGCGGAGATAATCTGTATGAACTCAAAGTCTTTTGCAATAATTATTCCTAGGATTTGGTTATTTATATGCCATAATTCTTACACTTTCTTTACACTTCTTTCTCGTTTTGGAAAATAAAAGTACAGAAAGTGTGTGTTGGAATGTGTATCTTATTATCTTAAAGGGATGCAGTATGAAAATGTTGTACTAAAAATGGTGTGCATATAACTATTGTTATTCCTTTGTATCTTCGTGTTTGATGTGTTTGTAAAACTGATGATTTTTTCACTATGTTTAACTTGATTAGGAATTTGAACCTAAACATGTTCCGGAGCTCCTTAGGGGCCAATGCATTGTAAGACCCTATCTTTTAATTTTTCCTTTGTTTTAATTATTTGAGTAAAAGTATGTTGACGATTGGAGTTCAACTAGTGATATATCTGTTTTTCTTGATTCTTGACAGACAAGGGATTCTTCCATGTAAAACAGCTTTCAACTGTCCTAGATGTAAGTATATATTATTCTCTCTTTGGAAAAAAAATTCTACTTTATCAAGTCTCATCTTGGAAGTGGCATCATGGTTGATGCACAATTGTTCTACGGTATTTTTCTATCATTGCAGATTCGACTTGTTTGCACGTTAATTGTGGAGGAAAAGATATACATGTGAGGGAAAAGGGCGACAGTGTTCTCTATGTAGGAGATGGATATGTGGTAGGCGGTGCTGCTAAGCTTTTTAATGATAATGAAAACCACTGGGGGTTTAGTAGCACTGGGGACTTCATGGATGATGGCGATTTCCAAAATACACGTTACTCAAGGTCTTTGTCATCTTCAAGTTTGCCGGAATTATATACAACGGCTCGTGCATCTCCCATTACGCTTACTTATTTTCACTATTGCTTGGAAAATGGGAAATATACCGTGCATCTCCGCTTTGCAGAAATACAATTTTCAAATGATAAAACATTTAGAAGTCTTGGGAAGCGCTTATTTGATATCTATGTTCAAGGAGTATTAGTTTGGAAGGATTTTGATATTGAAGACGAGTCACACCTTGCTCAAAAACCGCGTTTATTATCAACATATAATGTGACTGTAACAGACAGTATTCTGGAGATTCGATTTTACTGGGCTGGTAAGGGGACTACAAGGATTCCTGTTCGAGGAGTTTATGGTCCTCTTATATCAGCTTTTTCTATTGTTTCAGGTGAGTGATATCTTGCTTTAACTTGTACTGAAATATGGTTCTGACTTAACTGTACCATTTTCTGTTTTTTTTGGATAACTAGAATAACTCATGTTTTTCTTCCAGATTCTAAACCCTGTTCAGACCAGAAGACTGGAAGGCGTAAATTAGTAGTTGGAGTAGGATTTGGAGTTACAGCTTTGTGTCTAGTCCTTGTTATGGTAGGCATTTTTTGGAGGAAAGGCTACATCAAAGGAATTAAGAGAAGAGAAAAAGGTGAGGTTCTTGAATTGCAGATAGGAGATAATAATTTATTTTAGTTTCAACCATGTAAATAATTTCTCCACAGTTCACGCCGTTTATATTAACAATCATTTCTATGTATATTAGCAAATAGCATTCGTTTTTCTTACATCAATCACAGAAATACTTTTTTTTTTTTTTTTTTATATATTTATCATATAGTTATCAAAGGGCAAGATTTTCAGATGAGAACATTTACATTAAAACAAATTAGAGCCGCCACAGATGAATTCAGTCCTGCTAATAAGGTTGGGGAAGGTGGTTTTGGTCCTGTCTACAAGGTACTTGACTGAAAATATGACCTTCAAAACACAAAAGGTTCTGTTTATCTTCAACATGTAAAATTCTAAACAGTTGAATTGCAGGGTCAATTATCTGATGGTACATGGGTAGCAGTCAAACAGCTCTCCTCGAAGTCTCGGCAGGGAAACCGTGAATTTTTAAATGAGATAGGCATGATATCTTGTTTTCAGCATCCTAATCTAGTGAAACTTCATGGATGTTGCATTGAAGGGGATCAATTAATATTGGTGTATGAGTACATGGAAAATAATAGCTTGGCCCGTGCTTTATTCAGTGAGTTTTTACACATAATTAACACATCCTATTTATGAATTGTGATCTCAGCATAGTAATTCAACTCATTAGTTCAACTACAACTTTTTTTTTTGCACATTCTATAGGTTCAGAAAATGAGCTTAAACTTGATTGGCCATCAAGGCTTAGGATCTGCATTGGCATAGCAAAAGGTCTTGCATTTCTTCATGAAGAATCAAGACTCAAGGTTGTTCATCGAGATATCAAAGCTACTAATGTGTTACTGGATGGGAATTTAAACCCTAAAATATCAGATTTTGGGTTGGCTAGACTTGACGAAGAGGATAAGACTCATATCATCACCCGAGTGGCGGGCACAATGTCAGTTCTCTCTTCCTTGATCATTCAACTTGTAATTTTTTTTTTGACTAAGAGTTGTAACCTATGTTTTGTAGAGGATATATGGCACCGGAATATGCCTTATGGGGTTACTTGAGTTACAAGGCTGATGTTTACAGTTTTGGAGTCGTGGTCTTGGAAACTGTTAGTGGAAAGAGTAATAACAATTACATGCCAAGTGATAATTGTGTTTGCCTTTTAGATAAGGTATTCTACTATACATCAACTTATCCGTGTTTGGCATTATAATAAGTCCCCTTTTTGTAGTCATGTCATTTTCATTGCGCAAAAGCACCTAAACAAATATGAACATTGCAGGCATTATATCTGGAACGGACTGAAAACGTTATGCAACTGGTTGATGAGAGGTTGGAATCAGAGGTAAACCCAACTGAAACTAAAAATACAATAAAAGTAGCTCTCTTGTGTACGAATCCATCGCCATCACTTAGGCCTACAATGTCTGAGGTTGTAAACATGCTTGAAGGAAGAATAAGCATTCCAGATGTTATCCCAGAAGGTAACGATTTCACTGAAGATTTAAGGTTTAAAGCAATGAGAGACGTCCATCAAAACAAGGAAGGTCATAGTTTGAGCACAAGCCAAACAGATGATTCAACAGCAATCCTTACACATAGCACTCCCTCAATGTTGGGCAATGATATTCACGAGATATCCTCCGAACTTTGAGCACAACAAGTCTAATTTTTTCAGGTAACCTAACCATAAAATGATCAAAATTTTGGCAGATTGTAGGTTTAGCTTCATTTTCAACACGTCATTCGCGTGCTAGTTTGAGTTCACAACTAGATTCTAATGTAAACTTCTAATTATTATTCTTGAAAGGCGAGTACAACTGTACAAGAAAGCTCTCTTTTACTCAAGAGTTATTGCATATGTAAATTTTGGGTAGAATAAATCTTATTCATATTTTGATATTGAAGAAACACACAAAATGGAAAGATAGGACAATAATACCATGCATTAAGGGAAGAAAATGTTTATTACAAAAAGCATCAACAAAAACTCAAACAAACATAAACCATTAAACCTTGAAAATACTAGTAGAAGTTCCACAACTATTCTTAAACAAAAACTCATGATAAAGAAAACCTGCATGATAAAGGAAACATTCATAAAAGCATCAGCAACTATGATCAGAAATTTGGAGAAAACTTCTAATCATAGATTCCAATCCTGTCCATAATTCTGGTAACAGTCTCCTTACTTTCTCTAAGAACTTTAACACTCCTGCTCAGCTTTTCTCTCTTCCCAGAAATAGACGGAGACTCTTCAAGCAACCTCTCAATTCCACCGCCACTTGAAGACAAAAGATCATTACAAATCTCCTTCTGCAGATCATTGTTAATCAGTTCATTGATGCTTAACATCAAATGCAAAGCAATGCTATCGATAAGCCTCCTCAGAACAATCTTCCAATACGCAATCATCCTAGCCTTCAAATCAAAAGCCTGACTTAGCACATGAGGATAATTCCTCAGGTTCGCAACATCAATCTCACCAACCCCTTCAAGCTTAACATGAGTAGGCTTTGATTCGTTGTTCAGAACTTCCTTAATAAATGATTCTTGTTGAGCTACCAGCCTACTATACTCGAGCAAGTACTCAGGGTTACAAGTGTAATCTGTAAGCTTCTCCATCTCCACAGCTTCCATCACATGTTGGATTGAATTCCTCTTCTTCTTAGCAATCAGTTTCTCGCCTGCTCTGCGAGTGGAAACTTGAAGCTGATAATAGTTCGAAGAATGATGATTTAAAACTGAAATCACAACAGATTCAAGATAGTCCCAAACATTATCAACAAAGTTAATTGGCATATAAGAAATGCCCTTAACTTTTCTCTGCAGTATAGTTAGAAAAGCAGTTCTTGGCATAAAATTTGGGAGACCAATCCACTTGGCCTCTTCCAAAACCTTTATCTCTTCCATCAGAAAATTCTTTTTAGCATCACTTTCATCACTGTTTTCAAGATCACTAGCATATAAATTAAGCATCTCGACTAACCGAGCAGTGCAATGCATGTGGTTATCTTCAGTGTACTCCTCGAAATCACCAGTGAGAAGAATCTTTTTGAGAGAATCTCTAGTCAAACCAAGGATATGCATGAAAGCAGTCATAGCATCAACAATAGAAGATAAATTAGCAGGCAAGTTCTCTAGCTCACTAGCATTAGAAGCAAGCTTCTCATTAATCTTCTTGATAATCTCAGGCAAAGTTTTCGAAATTATCATAGCCTGAACTTGAACAAGCTTCTGAGCCAAAACAGGTATACCAACAATGGATTTGTCAATTTTAGAAAGAAGTGGATGAGACTCAAACAGCTTTTGTTCTTCCTCTCTGGCTTCCTCATACGACTCCTCACCGATTCTATTCCTTACGCAAACATAACCTAAGCCTATGTTAACATCATCAGCAGTAACTTTCTCCAACAAACCCTCAGGTAATTTATCAGCTTTTGTGACAACAGCAAGTGTCCTCAAACCAGTTCTATCAACGGTTTGCGACATCCTAATAGACTCACAGGTAGTAAAATCAACAGTAGCAGAAAGAACATTCAAGATAATACTTTCTTCAGGAGTTATATACTCCATGATAATATCCTTAATCTGATCATAAATATTATCAGGTTGACCATGAACAGGAACACGAGTTATACCTGGAAGATCAACCATGGTAAGATCAGGAACACCATTCTTCTTCACGACCAAAGTCAAAGGAGTGTTGGAAATCCCTTTGGCAGAACCAGCAATCTCTTCGGTAGCCATGTTTATTGCATCAGACACATTTGCTTCATCTGTGAAAACAGTTTTTCCATTGACCTCTAACAAGAGTTCTGGATGCGGAACCGGATGATTCTGCAGCCTCATCACCAAAGGCACCCTTGTGCAAATTCCTTGTCCACGCGGCAAGCTGATACCAGCCAAAGATTCAAGGACACTGGATTTTCCAGATGATTGATCTCCAACAACAACAATAGTAGGAAGCTGAATTCCTTCTTTGGCGACGTTGAGCCGCCTTAGATTTTCAAGAGCGTCGAGAACCGGACGTATCTTCTCATTATAAGAAGATACAATAGGAGCAACAACAGAAAGAGGCTGAGGTTGCTCAACATGAACTAATGCAACTGAGGATGAATCATCGTGTTGGTTAAGACTAACAGTAGCTTTTGTAGTACTTCTCTTTGAGGTGACAACCATTTTGAGGATACAACACAAAGACTTAGGTGAGGTTTATGAGATGAATGAATGGTGGAATAGATGAAATGCATATTTATAGAAAGAAGGTGAGGATTAAGAGGAAAATGAAATGAAGGGAAAATGGTCGTTTGGTATGATGCAGTTAATGGAGTTTAGTAGAGGTTTACTACAGTTTGGCTGTTACTAGGAGGGTCTTCAATGTTTGAGCAATTGAAAGGTTCCTTGCTAAATGCATGCATGGAGAATAAAATGTAACTCCTATATGATCCTACAATTCCAATAAAACGTAAAATGCAAGTAACTAATATATCTGCATTACTATGTGTGCCTATTAAACCAAATGTGTTCAAAATCTCAATATGACAATTTTTTATGACCACCTATATACGGTGACACTCCAAATTTGACTGTTTAATTATAAAAATATTTTTTAATTATCATTAAAAAAAATTTTTGAAGTTATTTATTTTGTAAATTAATATTATAAATGGCGGTGGGAGCCTGGGAGGTGGCCAACCACCGTGAGGGTGCCGGAATTTTGCGGCGCCATCAACCAAGAGATAGGGTGTTAAATAGGTGAACCAAATGAACATTTATCATTATTGAGGAAGAGGATTGGGTGATTTACTATTGTCATAACTTTGTAACTTTAGTGTAATTAAGAGAGAGATGAATGATTAAAACAAAGTCTTTCTAACTTGTGTCCTTAAGCATATTACAAATAAAAAAATATTAATTATTATACATTATTAATTCATCACCATCATTATTCGTTTATATTATTTTATAAATAATTAAAATAAAAGTCAAAATTTTTTTATATCCAACGTCTATAATTAACTGACAGTATAAAATCTCTTTACACTGCATTTTAATTAAATCTAAAAGTAATTTAAATTTTCAAAAAATTAAATGCACATATTTTAGTAGAATATACAAATAATTCATTAATTTGTGTTTTCAAGGCCGGTGTTAGCATTAGCATTCAAATAAATTATTTATTGAAAGACAATAATTGATTTAGAGAGAGATAAACAATACCCAAAGTTACCCTAGTAAGGGAGTGATATAAAGAGGTGTAAAACTAGGCTATCTGATAACGAAATTAAAAATTATATTATTTTGAATATAATATATTTTTAAATACTATTTTATCTTTTATAAATACTATAATGTGTTTTTAAATACAACGCTTATCTAAATGTATAAAATAATACTCGAATATTTAATTTAAGATAATAAAATAAAATTTAAGGAAAAAGTGTTGACTATATTAATATATAAAATTTAAAAGAGAAAAATATAATAGAATAGAGATAAAATTTAAAAATATGAGAAAAATCAATATGTTATTTTAGAGTAAGGCATTATAATTATTAGTATAATTTTTTTAAAATTTATAACTATACGAGTTTAACGGAATATCTGCGACCCATGCGAGTTAGTCTTATTGTATAGCGGATTTTTTAAGGCACTGCTAAATAATTTCTGAAAAATATAGACTTTAATTTTAAGACTAAAGTATTATGATTTTTCAGACTTAACAGACCGATTCATATAAGCTAGTCTATTTTAACAACTCTACAGTCACTCATCATTCATTGTAAACATAAGTGTAAGATTAATTAAGTACTTTGAGGCATTCATGATATCAAATAATTTTTTTTTTTTATAAAAATTAATTATTTTAATTTCCAATGCATTAAATACATGTATATTCAAAATCTTACCACTTTAAGCACTTAAAGAGTGTTCATTTCCCTTTTATATATAACCAATATTCCCTCATCTCACAATATGTGTCTTTGAGATTTTCACATTTTTAAGATAATAATTAATTGTGTTGATTTCAATAATAAAATGAGTGTCGTTTACTAAAATAATCTTGTTAATAATAGATAGTTGATTAGTTACATGAATTAAAATACAATAAATAAGAGTAAGTCAATGAAAAGAAATAATAAATATCACATTGGTATTCTAAAAATACAAATAATGTGAAACAAATAAAAATATAAAAGAAAACACCTATTGTGAGACAGATGGAGTAATTAATAAAATTATATTTATATCTTTTTTTAAAATTTATTTTAAGAAAAAGATTTAAAAAATTATATTTTAAATCATTATATTCTATTTTTTTAATAAGTTAATTAATTTTTTCAGATACTTATTTTTTAAGATAATTTTTTTATTAATGAAAGTAAAAAAGATAGGCATAAGAAATGCCAAAATGTCTAAGATTTACAAGATTGAAGTGAAACACCAAATGTAATAGTAAACACCAAAATGATTTCGGGACGTGTGCGAAGAATAACACGTGGTTGATCTCTATATGGGATGGTTTCTCTTACAATACACATAGTCAGATTAACAGAACGAAACTACCCTTCCCCGAGTTAAGCGTCAAGGTTATTTAGTTTAGAAAGAAACACCAACTTCTAGGCTCAAAGTGGTTGACTAGGAGCTAAC